TTCAGTTTGGTTGTTCACAGGGTTGCTTTAAGTTGTACTTGACTCAAGAGCCCCTAACAACAGTAGCAGTCCGTCTTTAGGAAGGAGATCTGGTGGTATAGTCAGGCCATAGCTAGTTGTCCTAATCCAACGTCTGTGCCTCTTTGGTGGTTCAGCTTCACCCACAACTTAGCATGAGAGAGATGGGCAGTCTCCTCCTGTGCAGTTTACTGCCTTGTAGACCCCAGTGGAGGGTCAGGACTGAGGGACAGTTTCCATTTGGAGAACTCTTTCCCAGTTTAGTTAATAATGAAATGCTTCCGATTTACCTCGGCAGTGTTAGTGGTTCCTTCCTCTCTGTTCGTTCCACTTGTAAAAGTCTCTATTGTGGGACCAATCACTTTGTATTATAGTGGTTTACTTGACTGTCTTTTCTACTGTACTGTGAATTATCTGGGGCTAGTGATCCTATCTCCTTCCTCTTTGTACCCTTAGTGCCAGCATAGTAGCTGACATGTAAAATGTCTCTGGAATGAATAGAAAGGAAACCAAAGAGAAGTCTGGATAAGCTTTACATTTAAAGTGAAGTCCTGCCATTGTTTTCAAAACACAAAGGGGAATTTTCTTCCCTTATCTTGGGTAAAACATCCTTCTTTGCTTTTGATTCACAGTTCTGTGCACAGCCTCCTTTGTATACTTCAAAGTCTAATTCTGAATTTGCAGCAAAGTGTCTGATTATTCATGAAGATCTGTGCCAAGTGATGTAAGGCCCAGCAGCGAAATTGTGCTTCAGGGCACTTCCTATCTTCGTGTGGATTTCAGACTAGAGATCTTCTGTGAAGCCCCTGACATGATTTTAAAATATCACATACCTTATTCCCAGGACAGAAAAAGGAAACCTCTTTTTTTAGAACCTAAGAGTGGTGTCCACTTCCTAAACAACATGCCTCTGGAAACTGTATGAACTTTGAGAAACTATGATAGTTATAGAAAGGCTTCAGTGCTTTTGTTCATAGGGTCACTGTGAGTCTTACTAGATGGCAATCAACAACAACAACAACAGATTTTCTGGAGCCTGTACATTTCCCAGTCCCTGGGTGATAAAATTGAAGCAGTTGGCTACTGACTGAGAAGTTAGTGGTTTGAAGCCACCCACAAGTACCTTGTAAGAAAGGTCTGACACTCTGCTTCTAACAGGTCACAGATATGAAACCCTCTGCCGTGCAACATATGGGTTCACTATAAGTTGTAACTGGCTTGACAGCAACAAGATTGGTTTGGTTGGTTTGGATCTGGTGTGGAAAGTTTCTCAGCACTGGTCTTTCCAAGTAGATGTGAATGAATTCCCTTGAGAGATAAAGATCCTAAAAAGCCTTCTTAACCTTCCACTATGCTGGACCAATTTTATTCTTCGTTGTCATCCATCATCTGGGTCATTGGAGCTAAAGTACATAAGCTATGTCATTATGCCATGGAAGTTTAAAAGATTGAAATATATATTAGCTTCTATTGCTGATAATCTTGATTTTTGTGTTCCCACTTCCTCTGTCAAGTCCAAGGTCTTTTGATCTTTTTTTTTTTTTTTGGTCATGTCAGTCACTTTCCTGACAGCTCCCTGCCTCACCAGTTTGAGTAAGTTTGAGACCAGTCTCTGCCACAGTTACTGACTCTCATTACCTGGGGAGCTCAGAATTGGGTGACTTGCCACCACAGATAATTCCTGTCCATATCCCTTTCCTCTGCCATTCACTTTCAGCTTCTTGCTCCCTTTTTATTAATTTGTGGATAACCAAGAAGTAAATTATAATAATGCTTAACATTATCAGACTCATTTATTTTTAATCTCATGAAAACTTTTATGAATAAGTTCTGTTTATTGTAACTTGCCTTTTACAGAAAGGAAACCTCAGATGATTTAAGAAATTTACCTAATAAGGACCTAGCTAGACAAGGGAGAATCTACATGAGAAGACCATAAAGACAATGTGGCTGTTGCAGTTAGCTAATAGGAACAAGATACATGGAACTGTGTAAAAAGGAAAGGGAGAGAAGCGGAGTGGAAGGAGGAGGAGCAAATCATTAGGACAACACAGATTGACGAGGGGATGGGAGAGTGAAGAAATAGGTAAGGTTAATACGGACTTGAAGAGACAGGGAGATAACAGTTAATGATATGAAACACAATGTACAGAAATGGTTATATAAAATGTATATGAGTGAGTGAATATGTGAAAGTGAATGATAGTATAAATAAATGATTTTTTAAAATGAAATTATATTCAGTCCCAAAGCATCAACAAGTGGTATCTGGATTAAAACCTGAATTTGTCTGAATCTGACCTAAAAATTGACTTTTAGCCACATTTCGCCTTCTCTCTGTCCCCAGTATTTTATCAGAGATCTTAATGTGTCTCCTTTTCTTTCACTTTTCTTTAACATGAATCCAGGCATTAGTCTGCTGGACTATAAGATCCATCCATCTGTATTTGTCATCTGACTGCTGTTGTTTTTGTTGTGTATAATTGAATAAGAAATGACCCATAGCTGACCCTCCAGTGGGTTTCCTGAGGCAGTAAATTGCACACAAAGAGATTGCCAATTTTTCTCCTGCAGAGCAACTGGTGGATTTGAACCCTGTGCTTTTGAGTTTACAGTGCAATTCTGTACCACTAAGTTACCAGAGCTCCTAGGTCCCTTCAGTCAGTTTTTACTGTCTGGCTGCTGTTGCAGCTTTGCTAAAACTCTTTTCCATTCTCGTAATTTGTATTAAAAGAATCAAAATCTGTTTTTGGAAGTCATCATCTATCTTTAGAAGGTATATTCATTGTTTCTCCAATATATTAAAATTAAGGTAATATGACATTTTCTGTTAATCTCTTTATCTCTTAGGTGGCAGACTAATGTTTTGGGAGGAGAAATTACTTATTCTTAGGTTATCTAGTACTGCTATAATAGTCAAGTAGAAAGTTTTAACAAACAAATTAATTTTCTTAAGAGTTTAGGAGATTAGCAGTCCAAATTCAGGGTGCCAGCTATAGGGGAAGCCTCCTAACCCCTCAACCCCAGTTCTTGGGGAAAGATCCATATATGTATTCTTCAACATCTGTAGTCCTGGGTTACTTGGAAACTTCCATGTGTCTTGTCATTGCCTGGTGTTGATTCTTCCTAGCACAGGGACCAGGGTTCAAAAGCATGCACTCCACTCCTGGAAGGTCTTCCTAGGTGGTACTGAGCCCCTCCACTTTCTTCTAAAAGGTGTTACAGGTCACACCCTCAGGAAACTTCCCTTACTTTGGATCAGGGCTATGATGAGATTATGGAGTCTTGCATTGGTTCTCAGACCTCTTATTCCTAGTTGGTTTATCAGAACAGATGATAGAGGATCCTTACATAGCTACCACATAATATTGTTACATGTGTGTGTTTTGGGGGACATACAGTTTAGTCTATGACACAGAGCCATGTATGAAGCTAATAGCAAAGGCATGGCAAGAACAAGGGTCTGTTTCCTGGCCCTGTGGTGGTGTAGTATCACTCTAATGTACTAATACTCTGAAAGTTTTATTGCCAAGAGAGGGATAGTATATTTAGTTACCGAGCCAACCACACGTGGTGAGGTACAATAAGGTTAATTTCTGAATGAGGATTCCTGAATTCCATAAAAGTACTTCTGAATTGCAGAAAAATTGCCCTATAGTGTTTTAGTTCAAGAATTTCCAGCATGCTGAGTGAAATATCTCAGTCACAAAAGGACAAAGACTGCTTAATGCCATTGTTTTAAAACAAGATTGACATGAGGGTAAGAAAAGTGGGGATAAAAAATGAACACTGCTCTGGTCAGCAACTTGGTTTAGATAATTTGAAAATAAAGTTACTGAATAGTCTCTAAAAAAAAAAAATGAACACTGCATTGAAACAGATGAAGGAAGGAGTTGTTTAAAAGGAATGAATATACATTTAGGCATTATTTGTATGACAACAGCCCAGAATAAGAGGTACATAGCAAAATGGACTGGGGAGGAAACGGAGGGAGGGAGGAAATGATGCAACAATGAATGAATTAATTTTTTTTTTGAAGTGAATTCCAGGTGGGCTAGGGAGGAAAATGTGCAACAATGAATGAAGCAGAAAAATCCAACTTTTCTGTAAATCTTCATTAAAATCACAATAAAAAAAGACACGGGGGAGGGGACAAGGCATTAAGGCATTTCCGGCACAAAATGCCTGACAGCACACCTCACAGCAGCACGCATTTGCCAAAAATAAAGCATAACAACTATCCCGACTCTGACCTTCTATAGTAGTGTAATCTTCCCCCGATTCATTCTTCACTGCATTCGGCCAACACACCCACTCTTTCCTTTTATTTATCACTTCTTTGTGTTATAAAGAGAGGATGTTTAAAGCTGACGTCTTGACTTGCAAAATGAAAAACTGTTTTGGAGAGCATTTTATTGTTTATATGTGTAGCTTAAAGCAGTATTAACTTTGAAGTAGCTGCTAATTTTTATGCATTTCTTGCCAAGAAATTAAGACAATACTCTTATTTATTCTGCATCAAGGTACAGCAGAGGATTTCAAAGTCCCCTGGCAAATTTTTTACTGTATCACCACACAGAGTCCCTTGGGAGATAGAAAGGGCTGTTGCTCCCTTTCTTATAAATGGATGTATTTAGGACAAGAAAAATCAAAGCAACTTCCAAGGTTTTAATTAATATTGTATAAAAATGTTGACATTTAGGAAATCTAGTTGGATGTTACATGGGGATTCTTTCTACTAATTTTGTAGCATTTTTTTAATGTAAGCTTGACATTTCAAAATCAGAGGTAAAGTAAAATCATAACAAAACAGAGATAAAAATAGTTAAGAAGTAAATCTACTTTCTAGTATTTACTTGATTGCTTTTCAGTCCAAGGATATGCCAGTCCCTGGTTCCAAATCCATAAATCACATCATTGAAGAGACTCAGCTATGAGTACTGTTAACATCAGGGGCGTTGCCCTCTCCTGTGTCTCCCCAGGCGCAGTGAACCCGCGGGCCGACCTCACTCTTGGCATTCAACCAAATTTGGGGAGAACCAACCTGATGCCAGCATGATGCAAATATCCCAGGGCATGATTGGCACTCCTTGGCACCAAAGCTACCATTCCAGGTAAGTGGTCCCAACAGCCGAGACTCCAGAGTTTTGTCAATGCTTGTGTTTCCAAGGGACAGGTAAATGCCATGTTTTCTGTGCTGAGAATTTTCTTTTAATGTAATAGTTCTTTAAAATGATTTCTTAAATCTTTCAAGCCTACTATTTTGCTCATTTTTTAAAAAACTCCAAACATGTGTATGAGTCATCTTCATATCCAGCATGAAATGAGGTGAGGATTATTTTGAGGCTTGTCAGAGTCAGCAACTGTTTACTTTCGGTGGGGGGGGGGGAGCAATGAATTTTTAAAAATTTAATTACTTTTATATTCATTTGTGTATAGAATTCATATACACTATGTTTTGTTTATATACTCAGCTGTGTTTGGTTGGTTTATTTTTTTTACTAAAAACCAAGAAAAAGTGATTTCTTCTAGCACGACTGACTGATTTGGTTCCTGGCTTCTTAGAGAGGAGACTTTTTGTTATCAGCTGCATATTTTTAAATGGTATTAAATTGTATATCACTAAGGAAAAGTTAGGGAGCCCAAACCTGACATCTGTACTCCCCTTCCACTATACATTAAAGAGAATCTTGCATCATACTTGGAACCCATGCAAATTCGAATCCATCCTTTCTTTTCAGGGAGCAGGGCTCCACTCCTTCAATTTTCAGAAGTATTTAGATAAGGAAAATGGCCAGCAGGTAAAAAAGTGAAGAGAATGAAAGTTGCTTAAGCCTCTATTTACAAAAGAGGATGTGAATGCTGATGGGTTGGCAAAGGGGGAATGAGCTTTAGAAAGAATTAGCTTAGCTAACAGAGGATAGCAATGCATTTGGCAAGGCTCAACTCATTAAGAGTAGTGTTTATTCAAGCCAGGGCCTACATCCTAGACCTCTCACTGATGAGGGGCAGTGGCTTACTGACTGGCTTTGCACCGTAGAAGAGATGATATCCCTGATACCCTCCTTCGTCCCTTGCCCATGTAGTCCTGAAATAATGCAGTACAGTATCTGACCATCTATTCTGAGTATAGGTACTTGAGCAATGCACGACCCTCACCCTTGGGGGCAGTGCTTTCATGGTTTTGGGGGGGTATAGGAGTATTGAGGCCTTTTATAAGGTAATCATTATGCCCATTTTGAGGAAGAACAGCTTATTATTAATTGTACTTTTTAAGTCTCAATTCTGCCACCTACCCACACACATAATCTCTTTGGCCTTGGTTTTCCATCCGTAAAGTGAAATTAATAATGTACATCTCAGTGGATCATTGTATGGGTCAAATAAAATGTGTAGTCTGTGGCACATAATAAACATTCAGAACATTATAATTATCAGCCTGAAGACTTAAACACAGTGAAACCTGGTATTGAGCTTCAACATTAATGGCATAAACCAATGTATAAGACACACTTTTACAATTCATGTTTAACAACAGTGTCCCTCTGATCAGTGACTGTGTCCTTTGGTGTTTCCTAACATAGATGATAGTTGCTTTCAAGTCAGTCCTAAATAGAGCAGAACTGAATGTTGTCTGACCCTGTGTCATCTCCATGATCAGCAGCATATATTCAAGTCTCTCTTTGCAGCTTTAGTCCCAAAGCATCACACCTGCTATCTCTCACCCTTATAGGCCCTCTGCTTCACCAACATGACGTCTTTCTCCAGCAATTGATATTTTCTAATGCCATGTCCAAAAGCTCTGGTGGCCTACTAGTAAGAAACTGTGCTGCAGTCCCAAAAACATGTGGTTTAAATCCACCAGCTGCCAGCTGCTCCGTGGGGGAAGGATGGGTAGTCTCTTCCAATGTCATTTACTGCCTCTGAAAACCCGCTGGATGGTCAGCTATAAGTAGGTTCTGACTCAGCAGCACACAGCAATGAAATGACATAACCAAAATATGTGAGGTCTTAGGAGATGCTATAAAATCTGAAGGCTTGCTGGGGGCTGGGGAGGGGAGGAGGAGACTGCTGCAGTTTGTGCTTAGAATATCTGCAAAGAGTAACTAGGGTGTGCTCCAGGAGGCCTCAGGGAAAGATGGAATTGGCTTCAGAAGTACACTATCTTCTTCCTTCACAGCCTGAGCTCCACAGGAGTTTAGGCAGGTGGATCTTCCTTTGTCCTGTACCCACTACCTCTGTCTCACAAACTCAGGCTTCAAAAGAACCTCTCTTGACAGAAGTACTGTGTGAGATGCACAGGGGGAAAGGGAAAGCTCAGATTACCCAAAATACAACTACAGTGTGAATACCCTACTGTTCCAGAACAAATGATTCCATTATCCATCCATTCCATGCCTCAGGCTTTCGGCTTTGTCAGGTTTCATCCCACTCTCAGCCTGATTGGCCTCTGGGGTCTGATTTTGGCAGCTGCCCATGGAGAAGGACTTCAACTGTGTTTCAGAGATGCCTAGGGGTATATAGTGGTCCACTGTGCCAGATCGATTGGTTGGCATCTCTCTGCTAACCTTGTGTAGTTCCAGGAAGTCAACCACAGTTCTCAGTTTATGGATCTGTTGCTTATTAAGAAGTAGATGAATGAGGTAGCAGAGTGTTGAAGGGAAGGACGGGCATGAAGAGAGATGGAGAAGGAGGTGCAGAGACACGGCCTGTGATTTTAATCATCTGGGAGCGCGGCTGGATTTGGATTGCCATTGAATTTTCATTTTACCTGCTTTCCATGCGATCTTTTTCACAATAATTTTGCTTCCTACAATAAATAATCTTGCGCAGGAGGGGAAGACCCTCTATGAGATGGATTGATTCGGTGACTGGGGTAATCGGGATGGGTGTGTCAGAGGCGGTGCGGTTGGCGCAGGATAGAGCAGGGTTTAGAGCTGTTGTGCATAGGGTCGCTATGAGTCGGAAACGACTCGATGGCACATAACAACAACAACAATTTTCCTAAAGCTTTAAAATACTTGAGAAGAGACCTTGAAAAGTCAAATAGTCAAACCCCCTGACAAATAACAGTGTGAAACAGCAGCATAAAAATACTTACTAATATTTATTTGTTGGTTCATTCAGCAGATATATTGAGTACCCACTGTGTGCCAATATAATAGTGAACAAAACATAAAAGCTTCTCTCCCCCCCCAACCATTCTGTAACACTTAGATTTTCCCATAGTGTATTCCGTTGAATAATAACATCTTAGATGATCCTTGAGAAGAATTTCTAAGGTCAAATACATTTCACAAACACTGCTTATTATGTTTCCTTTTTAGAACAACACATGGAGGGTCGTTTATTAATGACTTAGAAGTTTCCAGTAAATAAAATTATTTAGCTTATTTAGGTCAATGTTTTCCAAACATATTTGACCTTCAAAAGAATTCATGTTCCAGAATGCACTTTAAAGAATATTTCCATTCATTTGTTTTGTGATCTTTAAAAGTATTTAGCAAATACTTTTTAACACAAAATAAGAATAGGTGGCATTGCAAGCATACTTCTTTCATGGATTTGCTGTCATATTTGCATTAGATTTTTTTTTTTAAAATAAATGTTGAAGGTAATAATAAAATGTCAAGAAGTACTTAAGTGTCATGAAGAAAATAGAGTAAGAGATAAGGAGGAAGGAGAAAGGAACTGCAACTTGGATATCAAGCTCCAGGAAGTACTTTGTGAAGCAGAGGCTTCAATAAAGAGTGAGGGGGGAGAATTACATTCTGGATGATGAAAAGGCCCTGAGACTTTAAGTTGGGAATATATTTCATGTGTTTGAGTTACACCGTATGCTATAGTGCCGTGATCATGAAGGAGAGTTGGTAGGAAAATGAGTGGTAGAAAAATGAGGTCAGAGAAGGATCCAGACCATGGTAAGAACTTCAGCATACCCAAGATGCTTTTATCTTGTCAATAAGCCTTTCCCTGGGGGTTAGAGAATGAAGACTTCAATTCTAAGTTCATCTTACCTCCATTTAATGACATCTTAGATGTAGAAATATAATAAAGGTAATAAAAATTACTATTTCCAGTAAGTGGCATCTTATTCCTATGATGTTCCACTGTTAGTTTGGGAATGGGAATGCTGAAGAGATTGGTTCCTCCCTACTTGAGAGGGGACAGTCCCTTTCTTGCAAAGTGTTCCTGTGTGTGCCAGGAAGTCATGCATAGATGATGGAGCCCAGCGTTCTGGAGCCTTTTCTGATTAGGACATTTTGTAAAGCCTTCCTCTCTCTCTTACTTTTCCTCATCAGTCTTTTCTGTCCCTCTCTGATTTCTCTCACTCAGTTTCATGTTTAGCTTTCTCATTGCAAACAAATTGTCTCTAATACAGTCGAGATTCCAGGAAGATTGCCAGGGTGTAGCCTCCAATTCCATAAAAAGGAAAGATATTAACTAAAAACATATACATATGCACACAGTGTCCCTCACCCCCTCACATGCCTATTCTTACTAAGCTTTCCTTCTTTCCTCAAACAGCCTCAACAAACACAAAATGCCCTCTCCATCGCTTTGTTCCTCATCCTTCCTCCCCCATCTCTGTCATCTCTTGGTACAAATGCATAATATTGTTTCCAGCCCGTAACAGATCACAAGGGTGCACTGCCCCGTGGCTTCTTCCGTCCTCCCTGTTCCTCTCCCTACAAGCCTGAATGATTAATAAGAGGCACCTAGGTTACAGGGTTGGACAGTTATTCCTGGTGACGACACACAGGGTGGCTGAGCAAGGCCCAAATATGGCCCTTTTTACTCACCCTTCAAAAAACTAAACATCTTGCATAAGAGTGCATTTATAAGCTGGGTTCCGTGCTTGCATGCCTAGATAACCATTCAGTGGGGCTGACTGCTCTCTCTCTCTCTCTTTCTTCTAGCTCCTCTACCAGTGACCTCTCCAACTATGACCATGCTTATCTGAGGCAGAGCCCTGACCAGTGCAGCTCCCAAGGGAGCATGGAGAGCTTGGAGCCCAGCACAGGATACTCACCCTGCCATCTGCTTTCCCCTGCCAAGTCCACCAGCAGCATTGACCAGCTCGGCCACCTCCATAACAAGAGAGACTCTGCTTACAGCTCCTTCTCTACCAGCTCCAGCATCCTAGAGTATCCCCCTCCTGGCGTCTCTGGTCGGGACCGTTCAGGCTCCATGGATGCCTCTTTTGCTCGAAGTGCCCTCCTGGAGGGAATGAGGCAGGCAGACATTCGCTATGTCAAGACAGTCTATGATACCCGAAGGGGAGTCTCAGAAGAGTACGAGGTAAACTCTTCAGCCCTGCTTCCTCAGGGTAGAGAGACCCGAGTGTCAGCAGAAAGTCAGAGCCATGATAAATGGCAGAATGCCCCTCGTAACAAGGGAGTGCCAACCCCCTCCTGGAACCAGCAGACCCCCAGTTCCTTGGAGACAGCAGCTGACAACCCACCTCCTAAAATGGGTGCACCCCTACCCCCGGCACGGAGCGACAGCTATGCAGCAATCCGCCACCATGAGAGGCCTAGTTCCTGGTCGAGCCTTGATCAGAAACGGTTCTGCCGGCCTCAGCTAAACTCATCAGGCTCCCTGAAGACTCCATTCATAGAGGAACAGCTGCATACTGTACCAGAGAAGAGTCCGGAGAGCAGCCCCCCAGTGAAGCCCAAGCGAAATTATATCCAGAAGGCGCAACCAGGACAACCTATGCTCCCCACTGGCATCTACCCTGTACCTTCCGTGGAGCCACACTTTGCTCAGGTGCCCCATGTTTCCATGAGCAGTAATGGCATGCTCTACCCTGCACTAGCCAAGGAAAGTGGATATACAGCCCCGCTGACAGCTGGTGACAAGATAGCCACCTTTGATGAGAATGGGAACCAAAATGGGTCTAGCAGGCCTGGCTTTGCCTTCTACCAACCCCCAGAACCTGACTCCCGGTACCCAGTGGAGAGAAAATCAGAAGCAGCTGCCGCCAAGTTTGTTCCCTATAAAGCCCATTTCCCATCAGTGCCTGAAAATGAGGAGGAGATTTCTCTCAGGAGACATCTTCCATCTCCCCAGGGCAATGGCCCACATCCCATTGAAAGAAAGGGTACCCCTAGCAACAAACCATATCCTAATCACCACAGCCTCAAACCCCCTCAGGCCCCAGCTTGGCAAGTGGAAGAGAAGCGGTCATCCAGGCCCTTAGAGCCCTGGGAGGTAGATTTCCAGGAAGACCACAATGCCAACCCTCAGAAGAGGCTAGACAAAGAAGGCGTAGACCAGAACCTGGTGAAAAACTTTGGCAAAACCAGGTCAGCCTTCTCATCTCTCCAGAACATTCCAGAGAGTCTAAGAAGGCAAAGCATCCCCGAGCTAGGAAGAGGCTCTCAGGAGGGCTACCCAGATGGCAAGCCAGCCCCTACAGTCAACATCAAAATGGAGGACCCTGGCAGGAAAATTGGTCCAGACCACAGGAGCCACCTGGACAGGCCAGGTTCCTATCCAAGACCTGAAGTGAGAAACAGCATTTCAGCCTCTTTCCACAGTTCAGACCCGCTTTATGAGGAGCCTTCTTCCCCAACGCACCAGCAGATACCAGGTCTGAGCCGGAGGAGGCTCAGCTCAGGCGTCTCCTCTGCTCTGCAAGGCCTTCCGAGTGGGAAACCCCACTGCTCCGTGCTGGAGAAGGTTTCCAAATTCGAGCAGCGAGAGCAAGGGAGCCAGAGACCCCCAAGTGTGAGCTGCACCAGTTACGGCCTCGCCTATAAGCCCAGCAGGTCCGTCTCAACTTCCAATAATACTTCTGGGAATGAGTTTGAAGAGACCAGAGCCAATATCCGTTTTTCTGAATCCATCGAGTCTCTAGACAGTGGGGAGCAGTACTTCAGAAGCGGGGAGACAAAGTTGGAGGAGGTTTCCCGACAGCCATCTGGTCAGCAGCCCAGGAGGGGTGCAGATGGTGGCCATGGCCCCCCACTCCGGGGTGGTGAGCCCTCTAAGCGTGATGCTCGCCTCCTCCGCAGTCAGAGCACCTTTCAGCTCTTCAGTGAAGCTGAGAAGGAGGCTGTGTGGCCAGATGACAGGCCTGGCACTCCTGAGTCGCCTCTGCTGGATGCCCCTTTCAGCCGCGCCTACAGGAACAGCATTAAGGATGCACAGACCCGTGTCCTGGGGGCCACCTCCTTTCGTAGGAAGGACCTGGAACCAGGGGCTTCTGGCTCATCCAGGCCCTGGCGGCCCCGCCCTGCCTCGGCCCACGTGGGACTGCGGAGCCCTGAGGCGCCCACAGTGGCCTCCCCATCCCCACACACACCCCGAGAGCGGCACAGCGTCACTCCGGTCAAGGGTGATGCTGCCCAGGCTGCTGTGCCCCCAGCCACCCGGAGAGGTGCGCGCCGGCGCCTGACCCCCGAGCAGAAGAAGCTGTCCTACTCGGAGCCGGAGAAGATGAACGAAGTGGGTGTCTCCATGGAAGCCGAGCCGTCGCTTTTGGGCCCACCGAGGAAGGGGCTGCGCTTTCCGGAGACCACAGTGGCCGACCGCCGCCGGATCTTCGAGCGCGACGGGAAAGCCTGCTCCACGCTCAGCCTGTCGGGGCCAGAGCTGAAGCAGTTCCAGCAGAGCGCCCTGGCTGACTACATCCAGCGCAAGACTGGCAAGCGGCCCTCGTCCTCAGTGGGCGGCGCCTTCCAGGAGCCTCCACCGCCGCTGGAGCGCGCGCAGAGCTCCTACTTCCAGCCCAGCCCTGAAGGTCCTGGCCTGGTTCCAGCCTCCAGCCTCAGCTCCCTGCAGGAACCGAACCTGCAGCCCCGCAGAGAGGCTACGCTCCTGCTGGGCACGGCGCCTGGGGAGCTCACACGAGCCCATCGGGACCGCAGCAGCTCCTTCGCCGGCAGCCGCCTGCTGTGGGAACGGCGGCGAGGGGACCACCAGGCCCCAAGGGAGCCTGCAGCCAGGGCCGAGCTGCCCAGTGGAGCGAACTGTGGACCTCGAAGTCCCCAAAGGATGGACAGGATCCCTGGCAAGTCTTCCTCCTGGGGGACCGCAGCCGGGAGGACCGGGAAGTCCAAGTCAGCTGAGGACTTGCTCGAGCGTTCTGATGCCCTGACCGTCCCTGTCCACGTGCGATCCAGGTCATCTCCCATTGCAGATAAAAAGCGTCAGGTACGTGCCATGCCAGCCACCCCCTAGGGCCCTGACCCAGGACTGCCCCTTAGTCACAGAAGGTTTTGTACTGAAAAGTTTTGCCTATTCCTGCCAGCTCCCCTTCCTCCCTCAATTTTCATTGTAGATATAAAAAAGTCTTTTTCTATATTTTATTTTCACGGGGCGCTTGCTTTCTCAGTTCCCTGCTTGATTTCCTTACAGATACAACCTCTTTTTTTCTTTTTTTTTTATAGCCTCATTTTAGGCCATCACTGACTTGCTGTGCAAGTGTGCATAATAATGGTTCAGAAGAGTTAGTGGTTTGTTTTTGTTTGATTTTTAGTTCATGATGTAGAGACTGTTCATGAGCACTACCAAGGTTTTTTTATATTCTGTGTTTTAGATTTCTTCATTACAAAATGGTTAGAATTACTTCTTCTTGTTGTTATAGTTAGAATTATTCTTATAATTCTTGTACTTTTAACTGGTTATTGAGTTCCTGCTGTGTGTCAGGTCTTCAGGTACAGATGTTTAAGATTTATTTATTTATTTATTTATTTATTTCATGTCACAGCAAAGGATTAAGGCCTTCACGAGAGTACACTGTGCAATCTGTTAGGTACCAGTATAGAAGATGTCCAGGATGGAATACCTTGGAGAGGACTAGCAAGTTCTCTCGAAAGAAGATTGCCATAGACAGATGCTCATAAAAGTGAACAGTTGTAAGTTTATTAATGAAAAAAGAAATACAAACAGCTGAGCACAGTACACTGTCTTAAGAGTCCGACGGCATAGTATCCCAAGTCTGCCTCCTGCAAGTGAGAAGGAACTTTGGTTTGGGTGCAGAGTTCCAGTAATTATGAAGTCTGCTCCCTAATCTTAGCATTCTTGCTTTTCCAGTTAGTGTTAGGAGGCAACTCTTACTGACATGGTGATCACAGATGCTTTCCAAGGCCAAGGCAGTTGCTGCACTTCCCCAAGGTCATACAGGGTGACACCTAGTTCCAAACACAGCTATGGAGCAGGTAGGGGGAGTTCACCTAAGGCTGCATCTCTGTTTTCCTTGAACTCTCATCGCCATGTTCCCTTTGTTCTCTCTGACCCTGATACGTTTCAAACCCTTTTCTCTCTGGCTCCCATCAGAGCCCCTTCTATATAACATCCTAGTAAGATAGCAAAGTAATGCTTTCGTAGTCTCACATAAAGACATTTTCTGATAAACTCTCTAGACTATTTTTTTTATTATTATTATTTTGTGTGTCTGTGTACCGTCAAATCAGAGCTGACTGGTACAGGATATTGTCCCTCCTTTCCTGGCAGAGCATCTGGAGGATTCGAACCAGGCACCTCTGGGGTTGCAGTGCAGCTTCTTGCCCCCGGCCACCAGAGCTCCCTAAACTCTCTAGACTATAAAAAAGAAATGCTGTACATTGTAAATCTTAAGCACAACTAGGAATCAAACCTGAGCACCCTGACTTCCAGCAGTGTGTTGATTTCCCAGGATAATGCTAGTTCCATCCTCAGGCTCTACTTTGACTTGAAAGCAGTGACTTACGTGGTGACTCTCTTCCTACCTATTAGAAATTATATGATCTGAAATTAACACCCCAGGAGGAGAACATCCCACTGTTGCCCCTTCTCTAATTCTGCTATTTCCCTGACCTAGAACTCAGCTATTCAGCAAGCATTTGGTTGTATATGGAAATCGTTGTTAGAGAGTTGAGGGAAATACATTTGTCTTGAGTCTTTTCTGGTTTTGTAATTGAGCAGATAATACGGATTTAGAGATAAATTATTCTTGACATAACTAGTAGTAATAAATGATATGCTGTAGGAAGAAAAGTGATTCGTTCTAATTGAAATATTCTGATAAGGCTTCTTTTGAAGGAGATAGAATTTGAACCAGGCTGTAAAAGAGGGCAAAATGTTGTCCAGGGAATTGATTGGAGGTTGGTATTGGAGGACAGTCATTAGTATAAGGTAATAACAGCTTCAGCATCTCATTGACAGTCTTCTGGGGGAAATAATTGCTCCCACCCAGAGATTTTTTAGTCAGAATTGTCAAAAATAACCAACATAAATCTGCAACTATTTAAGGAGGCAGTATTTCCTAAGCTTTAAAATCTGAATATTTTGTTACTCTTGAAAAATATTAAAAACTGGACTGCCATTTTTATGACCCCACACAAATACAAATCTAATTTTCCATTCTTCACTTTACTACTGAAACTTTTTTTTTTAGTCTGTCTCCACAGCATGCATTTTCAGCTGGTTTGATGGTCTTCATTGACTTAGCACATAGCTAGATAAACATTTTCTGCATTTTTTTCCTTGTGTTCTAAAGAAAATAGAAAAGTTTACATGAAAACCAACTCCTCTTCTGCTGTTTATTCCCCAGTAGAGATCATTATTGTCTGGTGGAGAATTGGATGACTGTAGAGGTTATTTTACTATCCCATGAAAATATTTCTCAACCCTGCTAAACATAGATACAGAGAAATAAGAAGATTTCTTCAAATATCAATTAAATAGATGATATGATTTGAAAGCTCTTTAGAAAGATAAGTGACTACTGAAAGGTATTTACACACCTGCTTCAATAAAAGCCGTATTTAGAGACTACATTAATTTGTGGAAATTAAGGACAGAAGGGAAGACATATTTAAAAATCAAGCACTTTTTCTATGGAACTTTGTTTCCATAAGTTCAGAAAATAGGTGATCATGTCCCAGATTGTACTTGTGCTAAAACTATGTTTTGGGCATCTCCCATTCTCTACCCCAACAACTAGATGTTGCCTGACTAGAAACCTGACAATAGCCAGGCCTGATCTTCACATAGACTTAATAGTCTGCGTTGTGTGTGAAACTAGGTCAAAACAAAACTTGTCTCCTATGCAACTATTGTGGTTGCTATTTCAGCATAATGTAGCCTGGCTTTTCACTTGAATGAAATTCTCAAAACCTTTCCATTAAAGTTTTCAGTAAGCTTTTGTATGAAGGGGTTAATAAAGGATTTTCTCACCCTAGATTTTGAAATGTCCTAAAATTTAAGAGACCTTCAAGAGGCCAGCTGTCTGAGCTAAAATGAACATAGAGAATCTTAGGTGCTGACCTAATTCACATCATCTTTTCTAACACATGCTACTTGCTACATTCTAGCATGTTCGTTTTTTAACAAGAATTGCACTCCTTTCCAGAGAGCCATTGCTAAGAACAAGTGGTGTCTTCCTGGCAATCAGCTCCTATGTGTGTAAAAATTGATCATTCACAGACCTGAATTAATTATTGCAAAAGGTTATCTTCTGAGCAACTCTAGCCTTTGAACTGATAAAATAATCTGAAGGACTGAGGTTTTTCAAGCTAGTTTGGAGTATTAGTCATGACTGCTGACTAAAATGAGTTAGAAATCCATTTGAAAAATCTAATGCTGTTTAAGTCTAAGTAAAAAAACCAGTTACCATCTGATTCATGGCATCTCCGCATGTCAGAGAACTGCTATGTGCTCTGAGGTTTTCAGTGACCAGTTTCTCAGAAGTGACATCACCAGGCCTTTTCTTCAAGGCACCTCCGGGTGTGTTCAAACCTCCAGCCTTTTATATAGCATCTGAGTGTGGTAACCATTTGCACCATCAAATGTAAATAATAGTAATCAATAAATACTGGTTTCTTGAGGTTACTAAGAGATTGTTCTCTGAAATATGTAGCCTCTGTTTTGTCTCCTTTTATTCCTCTCCAGTTGAAGGGGTAATTGCAGAACAAATAGATGTTAGTGATTGCCTAAAGAGCAGGAAATGGGACATTGGGGCACAGGGCTGTTAGCATCTCTCTGAAAGTTCTAGAGAGAGTGAGAATAGCACAACCCTCTATCACCCCAGAGCAGAAAGCAGATAAAGAGCCCACCAGCAGCAAGAGGTTCATTTATTCATTGTTGTCTCACAAACAGGGGTACTGAGAGTTGGGTTTATTATGGAAGTGAGTTGGAGAGTGAGGGCAAAGAATATCACCACTGCAATTCCAGGTTTTAGTCCAGCAGTCCCAAGGCACAATTCTTCAATTAGTCCAGGCTTCAGTTTCAGTTCAGCTGTCACCTTTTCCTTCCATTATCCTACAAGAACAGCAAAACCTTTAACTGTGGCCTTTATTTCAGGGTTACTCTAGTTACACCTGGCTACAATTTGCCTAGTCTCTCCTCCACTATCACCAGGGTCTTGCTCCAGTCTCCCTTAAATCTTCCTGCTCAATGTGGGAAGTGCTCACACACTCTCTCCCCCTCCTTCCTTTCCTCTCTCCTTTTCTCCCTCTTCCTCTTCCTCCTTCCTTTTCTCCCTTTCCCTTCCCCCTCCTCCTTCCTTTTCTCCTCTCTCTCTCCCTTTCTCTCTCTCTCCTTCTCTCCCTCCCTCCTTCCCTCTCTTTCTCTCCCCCCCTCTCCTTCTGCCTACTCCCACAACTGTTGATGATTTGCAAGACCATGTGTCTGTAGTTAAGATAGCTGGAAATCAGTTAAGATAGCTGGAAGGGGGCTAAGGTAAAGGACACAGTTAAAGGTTTTTCCAACTTCAGGCTACACTTTGGTGATGGAGTTTAAGGGCACACCAAACTCATACTAATTTCCACTTGCTTTCCGTGAGACCTTGGAAAACGTAGCTTTTTTAAGTGAGTAGACTTAGCACTACTGCAAGAAATAATCAGACACTTTTGTTTAGAGTTCGAAATCATAACTTTCAATGTATTGATCTAAAATCTAGCAGATGATAAAACAAGAAACCCCTAAAGAAATAAATTTCTGGTGGACTTTATCCCACCTTTCCAGAAGCTGATGTGGAGGCTCAGGTTTTAGGGCTTTCATTTCATTCTATGAGCCCTGGTGGTCCAGTGGTTAGAGAATGAGGCTGCAAACCAGAAAGTCAGTAGTGTGAACATACCATTCACTCCAAAGGAGAAAAATGGGCATTCCGCTTCTGGAAAGATTTACAACCATGTTTAATTGCTGAGAAAATTGGTTAATACATGGAACCACAATGTTGGGTATGGAATGCAGTTTGAAAAGAAATCCTTCTTAGCACTGCTCAGTAGGCAGCCATTCAAATTTGAGCATAGCATAAATAAAAGAATTGACTTACCACAAAATGAGAATTTTCATATAGATAAGAAAAAGAAAATGTTAATATTTGCCAGTCACAGTACTGTATAACTATAAAATTAACATTCAGATCTATGCAAAAGGGGCTAAGAAATATGCCCCAAGTGGTAAGGAAAGAGGTTTTTGACTATTTGACTCCAGAGTTTTTAAAGTCATTTCCCTGATTACCTCTTTGAATAAAAAAATTGAGAAGTGGAAGTTGGATAAAGTGAAAGACAGGGGTTAAACATCTTCCATCTGAAAACATGAGTCTTATTAGTTGATTTCAATTTGCATTGATCACTATTATTTCACTTAAGATTTTTTCCAATTAGAATTTTAATAAATTAAAATTTAAAAAATTCATTTTAGTAGCTACTTGGTATAATAGAGAGTATATTTATTTCTCCGTTTGGCATTCCTAAAAAAAAGACAATTTAGGGGAGTTCTGGTAGCCTAGTGGCAAGAAGTTATGCTGCAATCCCGAAAGCGTGTGATTTGAATCCACCAGATGCTCCACTGGAGAAGGAGGGACAATCTCCTCCTGTGCCAATCAGATCTGACTCAGTGTTATGCAACAAGGGGGAGAAAAGACAATCTGATGTTTCCTCAAAGAGCTGAACATAAAAATCCCATGTGACCCAGCTATTCCACTGCTAAGAATATACCCCAAGGAAATTGGCAATGATTTGGGGAAATCATACATGCGCATGAAAGGAGATATATACCTATGTTTATAGCAGAGTTGTTCACAATGGCTAGAAACTGCTCAAATGTCCATTAACATTCTTCTCAGAGTGTGGAGGTGATATTAGGCATAGGTTAATAGTAATTTTATAAAATACAATGTATATGAATGATTATATAAAACAATATAATACACCTATTTCTGATTCAGCGTGATCCATGCCAGTCCATCTCAGCTTGCCAATGCCTAGTTTGTCAATACTTATGCATTCCATTTCTTTTTTTAACAATGTCCATTTTCCTACATTCATACTTTTTATGTTCCACATTCCAGTTATTAGTGGCTGTTTGCAATTATTCCTCATTTTTGTGTTTCCCAGTATGAGGGCTCAGCCTCCAGTGCCAAATCTAATAGTCTTTCTTTTAAAAAAATTTTTTTATTAATTTTAATGAAAGCCTACAGAGACTGAGGATTTCGGTTCATTCGTTGTTGCACTTTTCTCCCTGCCCACCGCTCCCTCTTCTCAATTTGCTCTTCTCTTTGAAAAGTAAAAGAAAAGTTCTTTCATTATTACATAATCCCTTCCCCCAAGTCTACTCTGCTGTGCAGCCTTCATTCTGGATTCCTGTCATGACAATAATACCTAATCACATATCCCTTTTAAACAGTTTTCTCCCTCATCTGTTTCAATGCAGTAAGCATTATTTAACCCATCTTTTTCAGTCTTCCCACAACCCCAGTGTCAGTCATGTTTTATAACAGGGGCACTATGTAGTATTTGTCCTTTTGTGACTGAGATATTTCACTTAGTATAATGTCCTCCAGGGTCACCAATTTTGGATAATATTTCATGAGTTCCTTGTTTTTCAATGCAGCATAGTATTCCATTGTGTGAATATACCACAGCTTCTCTATCCATTTGTTTGTTGATGGGCACTTAGGCTGTTCCAACTCCTTGCTATTGTGAACAAAGCCATGATAAATATGGGTGTGCATCAAATCTAATAATCTTAAGTGTGCTCTGTTCATAGGATATTCAAAGGCACATAGCATTTCACATTTATGGCAATAGTTTTAAAAGAAAATCTACCAAGCTGTTATGCAAAATTAAGAGGCATGGACATCAGGCAGTAATGAATGTTGAGGTCCCTCAGTCCATAGCCACGAGTAGTCCCCAATCACCAGTAAGTCCCAAGGTATACATAGAAAAGCAGTTCAAATTGCATAGGGAAAGGGAGTGTGGTCTCCTTGAGCCATTAGGGTACCAGGCAGAGTGGAGGAAGGTCTAGAATAGGGCTGAAAGAGTCAGAATACTGCCTTGTGGGTTCAGGGTACCCACAAGGAACTTGGGCTAGGCAACAGCAGCTAGTGTTCTGAAGATGGACCACTGTCCAGGTCAAGGAGTATGCCTACCTCCACATGTTGACTCCTGCTCCCTAACCTAGAGAGGCAGAGGACTGGACTAGGCAGTGATCACAAGGAGCCCTTAAATATGGCACTTGTATGCCTGGGGCATGAGCGACATCCCCCTCTCCCCCAATTAATTGTCACCTGTGCAGCCCTTTACACTTCCTGGATGCCCTTTCTTGTCTTACAAAGGCAAGGACAGGGCAGGCTACCTGGGTATGGATTATTAAGTCATTGTAGCAGCTGCTGTTTCATAGCTGCTGGTGGATTCAAACTGTCAAACAGACAGAGCCTTTGCATTATTGTTAGGTGCTGTTGAATTGTCTGCTACTCATAAAATCCCTATGAAGTTGTCAGCCTCCAGAGCACCGCTCAAATGACAAAAGGAATATAAAATACTACTGTAATTCCAGGCAGATTATTTGTGGATTGCAAATTAATTGGCAGAGTGTCTGGCACACAGTAATTCCCCAGTAATAGGTAGCTAAGGCGATCCAGTGATTTACACGTTGTATTTCTAACTGAAAGGTTGGCATTTGGACTCTACGTCAGAAGAAAAATGGGCAGTCTTCTCCCACTAAGATTTAAAGCCTTAGAAAGTGGATGGATTGCTGTGAGTCTGAGTAGACTCAAAGGCAGTGTGGTTTTAATTATAATTACAGTTAACAAGTGTTCTATCTTCTGTTGGTTCTTTTTTTTTTTTTTTAAACTTATTGTACTTCTGCTCTTTGGGGCAGGAGTTTGATGTGAGAAGCATGCTAATCTTTGGACAAGAGTGCATGATGAAGTAAAATGCTACTCGTAAGTTTGCTGTGGTTGTGTATCATTGAGTCGGAGCTGACCCTTAGCTGACCCTCTAATAGGTCTTCAGAGGCAGTAATCACACGGGAGGGGATTGTCCAACCTTCTCCTGCAGAGCAACTGGTGGATGCAAATTGTGTGCCTTTGGGATTGCAGCAAGGATTCTTACCACAAGAACTTTATTTTTCTACTTTCTACCTGCCTCCTATTATGAATGATTGTCGTTAAATAGCAGTGTCACTGCTTTCCTTATGGATTTGATCATATGGCTCAAATTTTATTATTGGAAACTGACCTTCACATCTAGATGATTTATATGCTTATAAATAAACATGCAAGCAAATAAAATCAATCTCAAAAAAATCATCAGTTATTGATTATCATGTGCAGGTTCAGTGGTATTCCCAGAGAGAATTCATTTCAAACTAATAACACATCCCTTTTATATCTTCTATAATTACAATATAGAAGACTGAGATTCTTTTTCAAAATTTGATATACTCTCTTTTCGAAGCTCTCTCCCATATTTTCCAATTGACATTTCAAAAGCTGGTCACTTTGAATTCATTGTCATCATCATATTTCAATTATAACAGTTGCTTTGGAGATAATCGTTACCTGACATCTCTTAGGACACCTTGCTAGGGGAGGCACCTAGTGAGATAGACCATGATATAAATCTTGACTCTGCTGTCTGTTACTCTCTGAGGTTAGGAATCCTCTCTGTGGCTTTGAGGAAGGTACAGAGAGTACTAACATGGTGCTGAAGCTCTGGTGGCTTTGTAGTAAGGAATTACTCTGTCAACCCAAAGGTACTAGCTGGAACCACCAGCTGCTTTGTGGGAGAAAGTTGGGTTGTCTCCTCCTATGCGGTTTACTACCTCTGAAAACCCACTGGAGGGTCAGCTATAAGTCAGTTCATACTTGATGGTACACAACAACCACTGTCTGGCAATAGTAGATAGTCTTTAAATGTTTTTTCCTTTGTACCTTTTTCCTCTTGGTAAATTTAAATACCTATTTGCTTATAGTAATGATGTCCCTTTCTTCTGTTTCAAGGATATGCTTTTGGAGGACAATGGTAGCTTTGGTATTGTGAAGGATCCTTGCTCCTTGGCTGGCCCTGGATCTAGGTATGTGTTGGCATTTATGATGCCTTCTGCTTGATGAATCCTGCTAAAGTTAAACAATTCCTTTTTCTCTCCATATGGTAATGGAATGTAGGATTGTAATGTTTCATATTGTTACAAGCTGCCTTTTTCAATTTGTTGGTAATGGAGAAATTTTTTTTTTCTAATTTTTAAATGACTTTTCCTAAGAATGGCCTTATTTCAGAACTGGTTTCAAGTATGTACTACTTAAGGATATGAGTTGCCTTCTAAAGGCTGCTTTTTCAGACACACGTCTTATGGCTCTTACACATACTGCCTCTCTAGTGTGGCTGATCTGTTCCAGTTCTGGCTCAATTGCTGGAGAAAGAATGAGCATTTCATATAAATTATTTCACAGAGGAGGACAAACTCAGTGGGAGCACCTGAAGTAAAAATTAAAATTCAGAATCATAATCTCTAGATACTTAAATATGGAAAATCACTCTTTAAAAATACTATTAAAATAATATGACATAGGTGGAGAATCATTATGGACAACTTTCCAGAACTTGAAATTTTGAACTGTTTAGTTGTCTAATCTTTACAAACATGGAGTGTAATCAGTCAAACTTTCCACAGTGGATTTTGCCTGAACACCATGGCTGTAGCATCATATCGTACCATCATACATGATTGTTGTTGTTAATGAAAATTTTAGATGACTTATCATACTGTATGTGGTCTGTTAGACTACTCTTAAGTTCTTGTTATTAAACATGGTAATACTTTTTTAAACTAGCTATTTTAATTTCTCTTATATTTACTCTTGTTATTATTTCTGTCTATTCACTATCAGTGAGTCAAGTTAACACACTGTCACTTAGATACTGTCTGTGTGGTCAGGAAATGGGTATTAAGTTACCAAGTTTACTGCCAAGAGCAGCCTTTATGGTTATTCTTCATGCCTCAGCCATGATTCATTTGATCCCTGTGCTAATGCTGTAGCAGTACCTAACATGAAGAAATAGTCAAGGTGAGGCTGAGAGCTTTGATCTATTTGGGTGCTTTCATTAAAAGCTAGAATCAAGGGAAAAGAAGCGTTGGTATGAGATCAGAGGTTTGAGTACTTGCTCTCTCTACAGTCAGTTCTGGAGTCCTTGAATTCCTTGAAACATATAAAGAGATTTTTGAGGAACCTCTCACACATTTTATAAAATGAGTTGCAACAATTTTTATTTTGCTCTATTGAGCTTTGGAACAACCAAAAGAGTTACTAAGGAGAAGCATTCTCAGCCAGAGTAACCATTTTACTACAAGGAGGAAGAAAACCCAGCAAACCTACTGTCATCAAGTCAGAACCAACTAATAGCTGGCCCAGAAGTGGGTTTGAAGAGAATGTAAATCACACGTGGAAAGAGATTGCCTTTCACAGAGTAGCTGGTAGATTTAACTGCCTGCTTTTAGGTCGGCAGCACAGCTTCTAACCCACTAGGTCACCACCAGAGATCCTTTAACTTAATAATATAACAGTTTTACTATAATTCTTGTCAATTAAGGAACTGAACTATGCTATGCATGTAAAACAAAGAAAGTTCATCTTGGTTTTCAAGTGTTGCTACACCAAAAGTATCTCTTAAGTCTGCTGACTTCAACAAACTGTAATTTATCTTCTTATGGAAATTTAGACATCTGAATTTAGGCACCATCTTTCAACGAAGGCTTTTCTTTTTGTTCTGTCACTTTATTTTCTATTTCTTGGCTCCTTAATGATCTCATATAGTATGGCTTCTCTGTTCCCCTCACATGTTTAATCTGCTCCTTTTAAGTCTCAAAGAGATTGATTGACTCAAGACATATCCTTCAGCTGGATTGGCATGGTGACTGCTGTAATTGGCTCTGTTGTGTCGGGAGTGTGAGGATGGCATGGGACAGAACAGGGTTCAGATCTTTTGTTCATAAGGTCGCTGTGAATGGTACTCACTCTACAGCACCTAACAACCAAACAATCCATAAGAGTGGGGTGGAGCCATAATTCATGATGCATCTCCTCAAAGTTTATTTGACTTGCTCTTTAAAAGATAACTGTTCATTATTTTACTTTATGTTAATGATAGCTTTAAATAAATTCTCAGGACATATGTATAATAAATAAAATGGGTTTATCTGAATTTGCCATTGAAATATCAGGTTCCAATTTATTCCATGCACCCTTAGCAACCAAATGGTTAACTGTTTGTGCTTCCTAGGCAAATCCTCTTAAAGTATGCTAAGTTTTAAAATCATTTGCCTCCTACGGACTGAAGAGCAGGTGGGCAGAAGAGATAGCATTCATTCACAGACATTTAAAGAGAGGGCACTTTGTGTCACCCCTGGGGATACTACAAAGGATTGAGATGTGGAATGTTCTCCTGCCTCCATCCTCTGATATTCACATTTAGGAAGCTACCTAGAAGAGTATTGGTGAGGGTTCTGGTAAAGAAACAGTCCCTGAATGAAAAACATCTTTGATAGGAGGGCTGGATGGCAGCTGAGAGAGTTGTGGACCCATTGGTAAATCATCTGTATTTACAATAAAGAACAAATGAAGGTCTGAGAGGCACTCGTTGGATTGCCATCTTCTCGCCCTACGCTGGCCTGTCGTCCCCTAGCGCTCCTGTGACTGTGACAGGCTCTGTGCTCTTGCTCTGACCCAGGAGGGTGCCACAGCTGCCTTTTAGAAGTGGGGGTCTGTGAAACAAAAAGTGCCAGTCAGGAAACTACAAAGGCAGAATTTACAAATGACACTGGAGCTGCTGGAGGTGTTTAACTGTTACGTTTGCCTAGTAGGCTGACCCCACTGCAGTCTTGTTTTCTTTGCATTGTTCTCCTTTTTTGCTTTTGGAACTACAGAAATATTAAAAATTGTTGCGTTTTTCCCTTGGAATCTACAGGGCAGTTATTTAAATCACCATGCAGAGTATTTATTCATTACTGTTAATCTTTTGTTCCAGGGTTAACTGCTTATTAGCCCCTTGGGCAAGACTCTCCCCTTCCTTATATTTTTCCTTTTAAGAAAAACACTAGGAGGCTGAAAGAAAGTTGTAAATAAAATCTTCAAATTCAGCAGCTCAAGCAAAGGCTTTCCAAACAGACCACCTCCTGGAGATCACATGGGAGAGGAATGAGACAGTGTTCTTTTTACTCAGAGCAAGTAAGCCAAGAGCTCTTTCCCAGAGAAGTCCTAAAAGAAACTCGAAAAGATGTCTCTGATTGTTTCCTTTTATACCTTAAAGCCATGCCTCAAAACAAGGTTCTTGGTTTGCAAATTCTTTCCTTCGGCTCCTTATGTAAAGATTGTTATGTGGCATGTTCACAGTGACCCTATGAACAAAGGCTCTCGTCTCTGACACAACTGACTCCATTGCCACAGTCACTGAGTCAGTCCATTTGGGTCTTTCTCTCCTGTGCTAACTCCTACCCTTCCAAGTATGATATTCTTCTCCAAGGACCTATCCCTCTTGGCAACATGCCCAACGTACGTGAGACAGAGTTTCAAAAGCCTTGCCTCCAAGGAGCAACCTGGTTTCGCCCTTTCTAGGACATATCTTTTGTTCTCCTGGCAGTTCATAGTATGTTTAACACTCCTTTCTAGCCTCAAAATAAAAAAAGTATTGACTCTTTCTGTCATCTTTAATCATTGTCCAGTTCTCAGATGCATAGCAAACAATTGAGAATGCCATGGCCTGGATCAGGCACTCCTTAGTCTCCAGACTGACATTATTGCTCTTTAGCATTATGGAGAGGTCCTTGACAGCAGATTTTCCCAACACAGCTTTTGATTTCCTAACTGTTAGTGCCAACAGTGGTGATTGTGGATCTGCAAGATGAAATCGTTAACCACCTCCATCTTCATTTACTATGATATTGTCACTTGGCCCAGTAGTGAGGATCTTTGTTTTCTTGATGATGAGGTTGGCTGTTCTAAACCATGTAGGTGGACACTTGTAAGAAGGACCTGGTCATCTGCTTCTGTAAAGATAGTTTTGATGTTCTTGTTGTTGATTGCCTTCTAGTCGAGCACAACTCATAGCGACTCTATGAACCAAAGGCCTGATGCCCCTCTACAACTGTCAACATTTATCAAAGTTCATAGTTTCTGGAGGCATGTTGTTTAGGAAGTAGATGACACTCCGGCTTCCTACTTTCCTTTCTTTCAGTAAAGATTACAGCCCGAAAACCCTGTAAAAGAAGTCTGTGAGTTGGACACTGTAAATTGCAAGTGCCTTGCTAGCAGTGAGTCTGGTCTTCAAAAGCTGCCTTATGAGGATCCTGTAAATAGGAAGTAGAAGGCTTGAGACTCCTTCATTGCCTCTGAGTCAGAACTGACTCATAGCTGACCCTCCAGTGGCTTTAAAAACTGTAAATTGTACAGATGGACGTTGCCCTCGTGGATTCAGAGCAGCTGGTGAATTCAAACTTCCAGAAAGGAGCTGCGTTTTTGTTAAAAGTCCCTATGGATTAATAGAACTTTGAGGAACGGATGTTGTTGCCATTGTTAAGGTGCCATTGAGTTGAGAACAACTCATAATGACCCTTTGAACCCTGTGTCATCCTGTGCCATCCTCATCATCTCTGACACACGTGAGCCCATTGCTGCAATCACTGTGTCACCCCATCTCATTGAGGGTTTTCTCTTTCAATGACCTTCCACCTTTCCAAGCATGATGTCCGTTTTTAAGGAATAGCTCTACTAGCAACATGCCCAAAGTATGTGAGATGAAGCTTTTCCATCCTTGCCTCCAAGGAGCTCTCTGGTTGCGCTTTCCCCAAGACATCCGTTTATTCTTCTGGCTGACCATGGAATATGCAGCTGGCTTCTCCGACAGCACAACTCAAAGGCCTCGCTGCTGTTTCTGTCATCCTTATTCATTGTCGGGCTCTCAAACGTACAGCGAGTGATTGCAAAGTCTGTGGCTTGAATCAGGTGCGCCTGAGTATTGGGCTGTTAACACCAGAGCTGTTCAGGGTTTTAGAGAGATCACTGACAGCCAACTTTCCCAAAGCTGTACATCTCTAGCCTTCCTGACTGCGGGTACTAAGTGTGTTGTATGGATCCAAGCAAGATGAAATCATTGTCAGTTTTCTCTTCATCTGTCATGTGTTGCCCATTGGTCCAGTGGTGAGGATTTTTGTCTTGATAATCCATATTGAAGCATTACCTTAGGGGAGGGAGGAAATAAGGGAGATTAAAATCAAAGGAGATTGTTTTCATTCTAGGTGTTCCATGTGACCTTTTCTGTATCACATTTTGCCTGTCCAGTGCTTTGTTTGAGGAACGAAATGGTCCTTGTTCCCATCTTGTATTTCTAATCTATATATTGTCTATTGGCTCAGTGTTTGCCTCTTTCTTCAGACCTGTGACTCTCATTTTTGTATCCTGCTTCAGGTCACTCAGCTGTCCGGACAGAGGCCACGAAGAGATGCCGTCACTTATTCACCAGCCTAGCCCTCGCTGGGGTGGTGCAGGCTGTAGAATAGTTGGTGGTCCCCCAGTTCCCAGTGAATGTCCTGCAACCTTGGACTCTCAGAGGCAAGCCAACAGGACACCTGGCCCCAGGCCACTGCCAGCAGGAACACCTGGCCATCTTACAGATACCAGGATGGGAACCATGACCCCAGTCAGCTCTGCTGTGCCTTCCACTTTGACCTCCAGCCACTGCTCACAGGGTGCTCCCGACCAGCAGGCTGGGAGGGATGGTCAGGCAGGGCGACAGCCTCTTCCACCCTTCTTCACCTCTTCAGTAACCCCCAGAAACAACGGTCCCAGTGTGACCCAGCCTCCCAGTCCACAGGGCCCTGAATCCACCAGCCTAGAGAATGGAGTAGAGGAAGGGATGAGGAAGAAGACCTCACTGCCTCAGAGGCCTCCTGCCCCTCGAGTGAAATGGGCCCACACAGTCCGAGAGAACAGTGTTCCTGAGGAGTCCCTGTCACCTGAGTTTGTAAACCTGAAGCACTATAAAAGCCAGCAGAGTCTTCCAAGTTCAAGCAGCACTTCTGACCCAGACACGCCCGTTGAGGCCTCAAGCACTCCAGGGAGGATCTCCCTCCGAATATCCGAGTCTGTCCTGCAGTCCTCCCCACCACCCCGGGATGATTATGAAGATGAGGTGTTTGTAAAGGACTTGAAACCCAGTGCCACTTCCAGCCCCACATTTGAGGCTCTTCCCCCTCCCCCACCTCCACCGCTGAACCTGGAAGCCCCAGGAAACAGCTTGGATGACTTTCCTCCACCGCCTCCCCAAGCTGTGTTCGAGGCCCACCTGGACAGTGAGGCCTGTGAGGATCCTCATACCAGGTGAGGTAGCGGACTCCGGACTGGGCAGCCTCATTAATAGATAGTTTTCAAGCACCAGGCTTCCCAAATGATTCCTTTTTGACCCAAAAAAGTTCATGAAACCGACCAAACTTATTTATCTTAGGTGATCATCATACTAATAGTTATGAATACTTAAGAGTAAGAGTAATGAAAAGCCAAGAGCCCAAGAAACAAATTTCCTATACAGACATGAGAAGGTCAGGGAGTTCAGCTTAGGGGCATCCCTCCTTCCCACCTAAGCTCTTTGTTAAGAAGAAAGAGGAAGGTGTTTAAGAGATAAAAATACCACTCCTTCACTGGGAGATATGAAGCTAGGGAATGTGGCTTATACTTGAGTGTATGTGGATGGTAAATACATGACCTTGAGGCTGAATCATGGCTGACCCTCCACTGGGTTCCCGAGGTTATAAATCACACAGGACAAAATCAACAGTCTTTTCCCCACAAAGCCACTGATGGATTCGAACCACTGGAGAGTTATGGCCTTTGGAGTAGCATTGCAGCTTCCTACAGACTGTACCACCAGGGCCACCTCCTAGCAATAAGGGCATGAATAATCAGCTTCTATTTCCAGAATTACCCAATGTGTACAGAAAGGAATAAAATCTAATTTTAGTGATGTTTAGGGGAAAATTCTTGTAAGAAGCTAGGAGAATGAAGAAGAAACTTTTTCCTGGCACTTACTGACTAGGACAACTAATTTATCGCACCACCCAAGAAATAATCAGATTTCCTGTTGCACACCTTTGTGGAGAGTGACTTCTAGATACTGCAAGAGGGACTTGCTACCAAAGCCCTCTGTTTACATAGACTTTTTTAGAAAGTGGAGATCTAAGAACACCTTTCACCAAAATTGTAAGCCCTCTGAATCCTCTTTAGAAATAACATAATCTGCTAGGCTCTGGAGAAGACCCTTTAGGACCTTGTAGTTGTTTGGGAAATAATAACCTCTGAGATAGGACTAATCTTGCACTCAATATGGAAAACTTCTGCCTCAGAAATTTGTATGCATTTTTAAATTATTTTTAATATTATATTAATATTAGTATATTATTTAAATTATCAATATCAATATAAATATATTAATACTTATATTTATTATAATATGTTAATATTATTTTTATTCCCTCAGCAGCTCTAGCAGTTTTTCCAAGTTATTGAATGTGCGAGAAAGACCAGTCTCTGGGCCCTCCCATTTGGTTGGTAGCCAGCTCCTGGCTCCTAGACCTGAAGCTTCTCTCAAGGCTTCAGAGGCCAGTGAGGCCAGCGTGCCCTCTGTCGTGGACAACCAGCTCCAACTGGCAGGATCTCTTAGCAAACAGCCAGGCCCCGGGCAGCCACCTCCTATCTGGACCCAAAGCGTCATCCATGATCCAGTCAGTGAAACTCAGGGTTTGGAAAACAAAGTCAGTCCTGATCCTCAGAAGAATTCGGAAGACATCAGAACAGAGGCTCTGGCCAAGGAAATCGTCCACCAGGACAAATCTCTGGCAGACATTTTGGACCCAGACTCCCGGATGAAGACAACTATGGACCTGATGGAAGGATTGTTTCCCCGAGATGGAAACTTGATGAAGGAAAATGGCGTAAAGAGGAAGGCCATGGAAAGAGCTGTTGGTTTCCCTGGATGTGAAGGCAAGAGGTAAGCCTAGATTCCTGGTCATGTTCCCAAAGGGACTGTGTACAGAGCTCATTTCCTTGAGGACAGTGTCAGCCTAGGACTACTTCATCTGGTATTACCTTGCTTGCATAGATCCTGACGCAGGAGTGACATTCCACATCAGCCTTAAGGGAATGACTCTAAATTAGGAAGCAGGACATGAGACAGACTGGCCGCAACTTACCACGCACTTATCCAACAATAACAGTAATAATGGTAATGATGATAATTATTGCCATTAATTCCTATTGTTCATATTCTATGTTTCAAGCACTGTATCTATGTCTTTCTGTAAGTTCTATCTCGTTTAATCTTCATAAGAGCCATCTGGAGTAGCTGCCAATAACATCTCTGCTTTCTAAATGCGAAAGTCAAAACACAAAGAGAAGTTAAGGATTATGCCGATGACAGTGGTAAGGAATAACACTGTCAATTCAAAATCTACCAGCTGCTCCACTTCCCCCCACCCCCCATATGATTTACTACCTCCGAAAACCCACTGGAGGGTCAGCTGTGAGTCAGTTCTGACTCAGGGGTACATAACAATCACAATATGCTCAGCCAAGGCCATTTAACACACCTGAATATAACATAGGCTCCCTGACCCTGTGTCTGTGACCTTAATGATTAGATAGTGCTGCCTCCCCTATCTCTGCCACCTCCACCATTATGGAAATATCTACTTTCTCAAAGAGTTACCCTTGCAGAAAACCCTAAAAGGTTCTTAGACAGGAGCAAGTGCAAATAGTGTGTCAGGTGTCGCCGTGGCTGAGGGGAAAGGTTAAGAACAAGAGCAGTAGGAATAGATTTGCCTACTACACTGACATTCATTCAGATTTCAGCAGTCTTTGGTTTTCACTCTTGTTATTTTTCCTGAATTATTGCACTGTTCTCGTGTATGTTTATTCATAGAAGAAAACCATGAGAAAGATTTGGAATGGTTTATATTTTCTCTTTAATTTTCTTTGAAAACTGGATTGACAGACAGAGATTCAGTGGTCAGTGGCTTTCAAATTAAAGAAAAACAGCATTTTATCCAAATTTAAGCTTATGCTTTAGGAGGTTCCAGCTAATCCTGGTCAACGCCTGAAAAGAGATAGGTGAGTACTGGTGTAGCTTCACCTTTTAGACTTTGGACATGTAACTAAGCGAGGCCATTCCATGGAAAGGGGCCTTATGCTTGGCAGGATGAAGGGTCAGTGAAGGAGAGGAAGACCCCAGCTGGATGGATTGACCCAGTGACCACAGCAGTAGGCTTAAGTATATCAGAGATGATGAGGATGGCACAGGATAAGGCAGAGTTCAGGTCGGCTCTTCATAGGATTGCTAGGAGTCATACACAACTTGTTGGCACCTATAAAATAACAACAAAATGAAGTCTTTATAAGCTATTTGATATATTAATCAGAGACTCTGCTGGTGATGACAGGCCTTAACAATTACCTTCTTTTTCCAGTGAAGAAATAGACAAGTGAAGCGACTTACCATAGCTCATGTGTTAAGCAAACAAACCAAGCAACTAACTAACTACAGTGTTCAGGGCAAACCCCTGGATACCACAGGAAGCTCAAAGATGAGTTTTTGTGGGCATACTGGTTAATTCACCATGGATAATCAAAGTATTCTCTAAGTATTAGCTGGGGAAAGGCAAAAGCAATTGACAAGCACATTGTAAGGAAAGCAATTCCTAGCATTATTCACAGCATGCCTGTCTCTCAGGCAGTTAAGGAGACGGCCAGATAACTTTTGCAGCACTGATGCTGAGCTGTCATGATGGCATACGCCATCTTCTGGCAAACGTAAGTATTGTCCTGTTGTGTGCGAGACTTTCGGCAAACCAGGGTGGGATTCAGTTAAGCAAATACCAGAGAAGCCTGTTTCTAATGTAATAAATAGATCTAAAAGAAAGTACGTACATTTACATAAGATACATACTCCATACTTACCAGAAACATTTTTTCAGTCTAGTTTAAAAGAAAATCATGCTGAAGTTCTGTTAAAGGTGATGGAACAATTTGGAAGCAGATGGTTGTTGCACAGCCTGATTATTGTCAGTTTGTTGTTATTGTGTACCATCGAGTTGGAACGGACTCTAGCTGACCTTCTGTCAAGTTTTCAGAGGGAGTTAATACACTGGAGGAAACTGCCCAGCCTTTTCTCACAGAGCAGCTGATGGCCTTGAACCATGTGCCTTTAGGATTGTAGTGCAGCTTCCTTCCACTAGTCCTTCAGAGCTCCCTATTACTGCCAATTATGTCATCAAATTGTCTGTGAAAGAAATGATAATATAGCAAAATGTTTGACAAATAAGACAGATTAGAGCCATCTAGGCAGAAATCTTTAACAGGCGATGCCCAGGCCTTTGGAGTCACTGGTAGCTCAAACAGCCAACCTGTTGGTTACAGTGTGGAATAGTTTAAATACTTCTCCAATAGTATCTAATTTAGCTTATAGAATCATTTATCAGCAGTAGAATCTTAAATATTATCTGAAAGAAAAGCAGCCTTATTACAGTAAAACAGACACTAGAGTTCAGATTTCTTGTTTGGATCTCCAGTTTGAAATCTCCCTGCTGTAGTCAAGGTGTAGACTTTACATCTTGTATTAGTTCTGTTTGACCAGCAAACTCCGATATTCCCAGACTTATATGAGGCTTACTAGAGGAAGAGAATTTATAGATGTATAAGCAGCAGTATAGTAGGCAGCAGAGAGATTGATAACCATGGAAGATTGGGAAATAATTAACCTAAAGCCTGAAATATCTAGCAATTTGAAAATACTTGCACACTGAATCATTGCTCCACATTGCCTTTCTATGAAATAATCTCTATTGTTCTTATATTTATCGTAAAAGCAGGCCTGAAATGATTCATTATGACTTGATCTTCAGCTCAGCATTTGCATGTTCACCCTAGATATTATAAATGCAGAATTAGAATATTTTTAACAAGGTTTGTAGGTGATTCTTAAAGTGTTTCCAAGCCCTGCTATTTATAAGAAGCAAGTGTATACAGGCAAATCCATAGTCGTGACACCAGCTCTCCTCAGTCTTGATCCTGCTCTGAAAGGATGAAAAATAACTAGAATTCCTAAGAGGAGACAAATGAGAGTTGTCTTGTTAGATTTGCTACAGACAGAGCTGGTGTAATTTTGGTGAAATACCAAATGCGCTAGATTCTGGAAGGGAAGAGAGATTTTCATACAGAAAGGATAGGATTACATATGAGCCACAAATCAACTTTTCATAATGTTAGTTAATTTATATTTCATTACAGATTTTCAGCACAAATAAAGTGTATATGCCGACTTTATTTTCAGAGAAAGTGCTTGTCATTCTCTTCTTCAAACATTCTTATTTGCTTAACCATAAACTGGAACTTTGTCAATTATAAGCATTCTTTCTGAGAACAGAATTTATTATCAGAGTTGGTGGGTGCAGGATACACACAGGGGAAGAAAAAGGATACGGGGCAAAGGAAGTTTACATCCAAACCACTGTCACTCACAGGTGACTCCCATTCTCCTCTTCTGATCGTGAATCTCCTTAGAGATGCATTGACCACTGCTGTAAGAGTGCTTTCTTCTGCACAAACATGCTTTATGGGTGCTTTTCTTCTGCACTTGCTCTATCATGGACAGACACTCTACATCACCATGCTGTAGCTCAGTGCTTTGCTTCTGTGATCCTCTGTAGAGTAAGACCACATTTGGAAGAACAACTTGACATTTCCAAAAGACTTAGCCAACACATGAAATTAGTCTTTTTCAAAGACATAAGGTTTTATGGATTTTTATTTTGTTTTTAAGGCACATAACTCTCTGTATAATCAGTCTAGCCTGAGATAAAGAAGACAGCTAAAATCCAATAAATGCTATTAGGTACCTAACTAAGAATATCAAAAATAGGAGACATTGAATGAAAGAAAATATCTTTCCAGAGATTTTATTGTTGTTTTGGGGAGGGTTTTTGGATGGATGGGTGTGTGTGTGTGTGTGTGTGTGTGTGT